CAAGAAGGATTAAAATCTGTGATCACTCTTACTTCGATTTTTTGGTGAAAACTTAAAAGTCCATTTTCTGGCTAAACGGAAGGCCCTAGGGCAAAAAGGATTAAAATCTGTGATCACTTTTACTTCCCACCGAATTTCGATTTTTTAGTGAAAACATAAGGATTAAAATCTGTGATCACTCTTACTTCCCACCAAATTTCGATATTTTGGTGAAAACATAAAAGTCCATTTTCTGGCTAAACGGAAGGCCCTAGGGCCAAAAGGATTAAAATCTGTGATCACTCTTACTTCGATTTTTTGGTGAAAACTTAAAAGTCCATTTTCTGGCTAAACGGAAGGCCCTAGGGCAAAAAGGATTAAAATCTGTGATCACTTTTACTTCCCACCGAATTTCGATTTTTTAGTGAAAACATAAGGATTAAAATCTGTGATCACTCTTACTTCCCACCAAATTTCGATATTTTAGTGAAAACATAAAAGTCCATTTTCTGGCTAAACGGAAGGCCCTAGGGCAAAAAGGATTAAAATCTGTGATCACTCTTTCTTCCCACCAAATTTCAATTTTTTTCTGGAAACATAAAAGTCCATTTTCTGGCTAAACGGAAGGCCCTACTGCCAAAAGGATTAAAATCTGTGATCACTTTTACTTCCCACCAAATTTCGATTTTTCAGTGAAAACATAAAAGTCCATTTTCTGGCTAAACGGAAGGCACTAGGGCAAACAGGATTAAAATATGTGATTACTCTTACATCCCACCAAATTTCGATTTTTCAGTGAAAACATAAAAATCCATTTTCTGGCTAAACGGAAGGCCCTAAGGCAAAAAGGATTAAAATCTGTGATCACTCTTACTTCCCACCAAATTTCGATTTTTTGGTGAAAGCATAAAAGTCCATTTTCTGGCTAAACGGAAGGCCCTAGGGCCAAAAGGATTAAAATCTGCGATCACTCTTACTTTCCACAAAATTTTGATTTTTTAGTGAAAACATAAAAGTCCATTTTCTGGCTAAACGGAAGGCCCTAGGGCCAAAAGGATTAAAATCTGTGATCACTCTTACTTCCCACCAAATTTCAATTTTTTGGTGAAAACATAAAAGTCCATTTTCTGGCTAAACGGAAGGCCCTAGGGCCAAAAGGATTAAAATCTGTGATCACTCTTACTTCCCACCAAATTTCGATTTTTTGGTGAAAACTTAAAAGTCCATTTTCTGGCTAAACGGAAGGCCCTAGGGCCAAAAGGATTAAAATCTGTGATCACTCTTACTTCCCACCAAATTTCAATTTTTTAGTGAAAACATAAAAGTCCATTTTCTGGCTAAACGGAAGGCCCTAGGGCAAAAAGGATTAAATTCTGTGATCACTCTTACTTCCCACCAAATTTTGAATTTTTTGTGAAAATATAAAAGTTCATTTTCTGGCTAAATGGAAGGCCCTAGGGCCAAAAGGATTAAAATCTGTGATCACTCTTACTTCCCACCAAATTTCAATTTTTTAGTGAAAACATAAAAGTCCATTTTCTGGCTAAACGGAAGGCCCTAGGGCAAGAAGGATTAAAATCTGTGATCACTCTTACTTCGATTTTTTGGTGAAAACTTAAAAGTCCATTTTCTGGCTAAACGGAAGGCCCTAGGGCAAAAAGGATTAAAATCTGTGATCACTTTTACTTCCCACCGAATTTCGATTTTTTAGTGAAAACATAAGGATTAAAATCTGTGATCACTCTTACTTCCCACCAAATTTCGATATTTTGGTGAAAACATAAAAGTCCATTTTCTGGCTAAACGGAAGGCCCTAGGGCCAAAAGGATTAAAATCTGTGATCACTCTTACTTCGATTTTTTGGTGAAAACTTAAAAGTCCATTTTCTGGCTAAACGGAAGGCCCTAGGGCAAAAAGGATTAAAATCTGTGATCACTTTTACTTCCCACCGAATTTCGATTTTTTAGTGAAAACATAAGGATTAAAATCTGTGATCACTCTTACTTCCCACCAAATTTCGATATTTTAGTGAAAACATAAAAGTCCATTTTCTGGCTAAACGGAAGGCCCTAGGGCAAAAAGGATTAAAATCTGTGATCACTCTTACTTCCCACCAAATTTCGATATTTTAGTGAAAACATAAAAGTCCATTTTCTGGCTAAACGGAAGGCCCTAGGGCAAAAAGGATTAAAATCTGTGATCACTCTTTCTTCCCACCAAATTTCAATTTTTTTCTGGAAACATAAAAGTCCATTTTCTGGCTAAACGGAAGGCCCTACTGCCAAAAGGATTAAAATCTGTGATCACTTTTACTTCCCACCAAATTTCGATTTTTCAGTGAAAACATAAAAGTCCATTTTCTGGCTAAACGGAAGGCACTAGGGCAAACAGGATTAAAATATGTGATTACTCTTACATCCCACCAAATTTCGATTTTTCAGTGAAAACATAAAAGTCCATTTTCTGGCTAAACGGAAGGCCCTAAGGCAAAAAGGATTAAAATCTGTGATCACTCTTACTTCCCACCAAATTTCGATTTTTTGGTGAAAGCATAAAAGTCCATTTTCTGGCTAAACGGAAGGCCCTAGGGCCAAAAGGATTAAAATCTGCGATCACTCTTACTTTCCACAAAATTTTGATTTTTTAGTGAAAACATAAAAGTCCATTTTCTGGCTAAACGGAAGGCCCTAGGGCCAAAAGGATTAAAATCTGTGATCACTCTTACTTCCCACCAAATTTCAATTTTTTGGTGAAAACATAAAAATCCATTTTCTGGCTAAACGGAAGGCCCTAGGGCCAAAAGGATTAAAATCTGTGATCACTTTTACTTCCCACCAAATTTCGATTTTATAGTGAAAACATAAAAGTCCATTTTCTGGCTAAATGGAAGGCCCTAGGGCAAAAAGGATTAAAATCTGTGATCACTTTTACTTCCCACCAAATTTTAATTTTTTGGTGAAAACATAAAAGTCCATTTTCTGGCTAAACGGAAGGCCCTAGGGCCTAAAGGATTAAAATCTGTGATCACTCTTTCTTCCCACCAAATTTCGATTTTTTGGTGAAAACATAAAAGTCCATTTTCTGGCTAAACGGAAGGCCCTACGGCCAAAAGGATTAAAATCTGTGATCACTCTTACTTCCCACCAAAAATCAATTTTTTAGTGAAAACATAAAAGTCCATTTTCTGGCTAAACGGAAGGGCCTAGGGCAAAAAGGATTAAAATCTGTGATCACTCTTTCTTCCCACCAAATTTCAATTTTTTGGTGAAAATATAAAAGTCCATTTTCTGGCTAAACGGAAGGCCCTAGGGCAAAAAGGATTAAAATCTGTGATCACTCTTTCTTCCCACCAAATTTCAATTTTTTGGTGAAAACATAAAAGTCCATTTTCTGGCTAAACGGAAGGCCCTAGGGCCAAAAGGGTTAAAATCTGTGATCACTCTTACTTCCCACCAAATTTCGATTTTTTGGTGAAAACATAATTCAATATTTTTAGTGAAAACATAAAAGTCCATTTTCTGGCTAAACGGAAGGCCCTAGGGCAAAAAGGATTAAAATCTGTGATTACTTTTACTTCTCACGAAATTTCGATTTTTTGGTGAAAACATAAAGGTCCATTTTCTGGCTAAACGGAAGGCCCTAGGGCCAAAAGGATTAAAATCTGTGATCACTCTTACTTCCCACCAAATTTTGATTTTTTGGTGAAAACATAAAAGTCCATTTTCTGGCTAAAGTGAAGGCTCTAGGGCCAAAAGGATTAAAATCTGTGATCACTTTTACTTCCTACCAAATTTTGATTTTTTAGTGAAAACATAAAAGTCCATTTTCTGGCTGGGAAGTCTAGGGTTATAATGGACAACTTTTAGTAGGAAAAAACTTTCTGACTTCTATGATATCGCTAAAGGAATGGGATCTAATGCCATACCGGTAACTTTTTTATGAAAGTGGCCGATTGCAGTTTTATATAGCAATCTGACACATGACACTCTCTTTATTTAGGATTTCTTCAAATTATTTTTAATAAGCTTCGACTATAACTAAACTATCCTTTTTGCTTAAGTAGCTTATTAGTTTTTGTTCAATCTGCTTTTAGTTAATGTAAATAAGTTTTTATATTTAATTTTAATTATGCTTTTTAACTATTTTTCCTTTTCAAAAAATAGCTTGTTTACTTTTATTTCGAAATCACACATCCTCAGCATTAAAAAAAGCATTAAAAACTACTTGAATTGACTTTTGAAGTGAGAATTGGAAAAATTTCATAATTAAAGTCAATTCTTGTACAAAATATTGTATAAATAGTGTTGTATGTTGAAACACAAGCAAAAAAAAAAAAATAACTGTCCTATAAATGTCTCTCTTTATGTTTGTCTTGTAAACTAAAATAAACGTGCACCTCCTATAATTGGCTTAAAACCTTTCTACTTGTTTTCCCTCCAACAACCTCAAACCCAGCCCTCTCTGTTTCTCTTTTAACACCTATGACTGTTTGTTTATGAAAAAACCTAGTTTTGTAAAAAAAAATCCCTAAATTACTAAGAAAAGCCACTCGTAATAACGACACCATCATCACCACCACCAACCAAACAACCAACCACCATCACCACTAGCATAATGATCACCAACATCCCTTAAGGATAACAAGTCCAACACCAGCAACTAAGCAAGTGTGTGAAATGTGAATGTCTTAAATAAGTGCTACCGAGTTAACTCTAAGATGTCTTGAAGAGGAGGGGAACCACTGGAATGCAATTACTTACACTCAATGCTCTAAGGAGAAAGATGTTGTTGAACTGCACCAAACCACATCATAAACTTGTTTTGCATTTAAATTTCTTATTAACTAATTAATTGATTAATTATTGTATTATTTTAAAGTTGACAAACGTAAAATGAAGCTTGTTTCTTTTTTCTTTTGAATACTTCTCAATTATTGTAATTTAAATGTGTTGAAAAGTTGAAAGTTTGGAGTTGTTCTTCTATACTATTGTTTGGTTCCAAATTTCCATGTTTTCTTTTAGATTGATAATGACATATTACTACGACGTTCGTCGTCCCTGCGTCAGGGTTTGCCAAATGTTGGTGTTAATACGGGTAGAAGAAAATCTTCACTGGAGGAAATAGGCATTAGTCATTTTACCACCTTAATGCAGGCCACTAATCATACTAACCCCATTAAAATCGCTCTCAATGGTAGCATAGGCTTAGAGGTTAGTCATCAGCATACACACTCTAATACTCTTTCGCTCTTTATTAACTTTAAGCGCTTAGTTCATTCTTTTTTACCTAATCTTCCAAAGAATCGTATTTCATTACAGGTCACCCCGCCCGAAGAGCCTACACCGATATTGGGTGTACCCTGTGTTGTGCCTTCCGGTCAAGGTGGCGGCATTAATCCCTCTACCTTGGGTGGTGGCTCTACGCTAAATATCAATAATGTGGATTTATCACCCAGCCCTAATACAAATTTACCCCTGCAATTACCCCAAGATCAGTCACAAGGTGGATCCCAATCACAATTGCCCTCACCGCAACATTTACAGGGTACAATTGTATGATACAACCTAATGTGGGGTCGCCGACTCCGCTCCTCGATGTCGAAGAAAAATAAATGGATTTAATTTACAGCCAAAATCTATACATGTAGAGCATTTAGATGGAGGAGTGTGCAGCAAACGATGTGAGACCCCTCTATCTTTCGAATGGATATTATATTCAAAATCAACGACTTGTACATTTAAACTACTAAATAGTTTTGTTTAAATTTAGGTTTATTTTGTTATTTATTATCATTTTGTTATTAGATTTTAAGCAAAAAAAAAACGGTAAAACTAACTTTAAGATTACGTAGTTGGCCTTCTTTACTAATTATTTTCAATTGTTTCCTAATTAATTTTTAAGTGTTAATAACTATTATTTATTTATGTGTGTGTGTTTTTTAAGTTGTTTAAAAAGGAGTTCAATGCAACTTTGATTTTGAAAATTATTTATCAAAAAATATTTTTTTTAATAAAGTTATAGTTTTTGAATTGAATTTCTTAAACGTTATTAGTCTGAAGTGGAATATTCTCTACAGAGAAAAAATTTCATAGCTGCTACTCCGAGCTCTATTCTGAATAGTTGTGAATACTATGATCTCTGAGAGCACTAACTAGTTCATCTAACAAATCTAATTAGATTCGTTACACAGGCCGACAAAAAAAACGTAAATTATAAAATGTCGAATGCCATCTGAAAGTCCATTCTGCTGGATGAAAATATCTCGAAAATCAAAGAAGATATGTCAGATTTTAAGCCATTCTGTCGGATGAAGATATCTCGAAAATGAAAAAAGATATGGCAGTTGTTAAGCCTTTATTTTAAAGCTGAAAGAATTGACTTTCAGATGACATACAACATTTTATAAATAAAGTTGGACAAAAAGTGTCCAAAAAAGAGTTTTTTGAGAGATATCTCGAATTCCAGATGTGATGAAGAAATTCTGAAGACATTTACGGATTCAGCTCTAGGGTTTTGGGTTAATTTATTTGGCCTATGTTATTAACTAATTTTTGAGACAGATTATGAAAGCTCGAGCCAATATCATACGCTGGCAGATCAGGGCTACGCTAGTTATGCTTTATAGATCCATCTTTTTCGTCTGAGACTCTTCTGCAGTAACTTTAAGTATGTTTATAAGAAGTTTTAATGCATTTTTCGCAAAGACCACTAGTGTCAAGATTATTTTCTTTAAAAGTCCCAGAGCATTTTTGAAACCGGTTCCTCTAACGCCTATTGATGTTCGTTATCGCGGAAACGAGAATATGAATATCCGAATTCGAAAAAGGTTTCGTTTATGGATGATTTGTTTATTAAGCATTCGTTGAGAATTAAATTTCTTCGTATGTTCTCATATAGGTACTGCAACTTATACCAATTCAATTCAATATCAGATTGAACACGAGCCAGTACCTCTAACAGTCTGAACTAGTATGTGGAGTATTCTATTGTGTATGGGCATGTCTATGGACTAGTCGACTGTCTTGTACATTGACTAGTCTATTACTATATAGTCTTTTAACTAGTCCATGAAATAGTCTATTAACTACTCTATGAATTCATTTATTGAATACATTATGATATATTCTGTGGACCAATGTTTGTAATAGTCTGTTGACTTATCTATGAACCAGTCCGGAAAAGAGTCTATTGTCTAATTTATTATCTGTTCTATTGATTTGTATAATGCCTCTCAAATTGATTCTTTCCAAGTCTATTAACTAGACTACGATCTAGTCTATGAACAAGTTTTTGAATAGTCTATGAATTCATTATTATAATTTACATATATATTACATACTCCATGGACCTATAAATTGTTTAGTCTATTTACTATTCTATTGACTAATCTACGGACTATTCTATAGGTCAATCTATTGGCCATGTTTTGGTATAGTATATAGACTAATCTGTAGACTAAACTGTGCCCAAGCCTATGGACTAGTCATTAACCTATTCATTAGATTAGTCAATAGTTTACAATTTATAAAAACTACTTAACAAGTTGTGCTAGTGCAGCGGTATTTTTCCATATCAAATGCTAGTCAAAAGTACAATATTCATTGTCATTTTAACAAATTTCATCAAAAAAACTATTATTAATTTAATAATAGATCAAAGTAATCACTCACCTATTCCTTCCTTTCGTATCCAGCAAAAATTCCGATTTATTTTCAATGAATGGCCAATCTAAAGGCAAATTAAACACTTACGAAGGTTTACGTAAGCCAAAAAAAAGTAAACAACTTTTACATCACGTAACGAAACGTAGCAAGTAACTGAACCTTAAAACAACATACCGACTGCACGCTAGCGGCTTTAATTGAAATATTTTCGAAATATTAAAACACTTTTTTCACTAATTAACCTGATATTTTCTAATTGCAATTTGTTATAGAAATATTAAACAACATTTAAATTATATATTTATGAAAAAATATTTGTAATTTATTAACTTTTAATAGGATTTTTCTTATTAATTATACGAACACTCAGTAACAAACAACCGAACACTTGCAAAATTTCTAGAAAACTAACAAAAGAATGCAAGTAAAAGGTGATTGTTGTTGTTGTTATTGTTGTTTTCATTTTATTTTTTATTGAACTCCTTTTTGAACTCTTTTCTTCTATATTGACTGTTTTATAATTTTGTTTCGAATCTTTTTATAAATTATAAAATTGTAAATTATTAATTAATTTAAGCTTAAATAAACAAATTGGTAATAGTGTTGAATAAGTAATAAACTTTTAATTTTTTTTAGCATTATAAAAATGGTCAATTTTAAAACGAATTATAGAAAATTAAATTTAAATAATAAATTTAAAAAAAAAAAAAACAGATTAAATTCAGTGAAAATGCTGCAAAAATACAAGGTGTGTTTTGGGAACAAAAAAATTGTAGTTAAAATATAAAGTTGAAACAAATATTTAATAAACAAATTATATAATAAAATAAAAAACAACTAAAACGTAGTTTATATAAATGTAGATAAAAAAAGAAATAATTCAGACTTGAAAAAAAGAAAAATTTAACAAAATTGTTATATTTGTTATTTAATGAAATCTCATCTGGCAACATGTTAAAGTAATAACGAAATAAATTTGTTACATACTTTTAGGCTGCAACAATTTTTTAGAAAATGTGTCAGGCATGGGAAATTTATTTATTTAGATAGACATTAAAAATAGTTTGCTACACTATGGACTAGTCCCTAGACTACTCTATGGACTAGTCTGTAGACTACTCTATGAACTAGTCTGTAGACTACTCTACTACTCTATGGATTAGTCTGTCCACTAGTCTATATTTTAATCTATGGACTAGTCTATGAACAAGTCTGTAGACTACACTATGGACTAGTCTTTAGACTGATCATGTGACTAGTCTATGGACTTGTCTCTACTCTACTCTATGGACTAGTCTGTAGACCACTCTATGGACTACTCTATGGACTAGTCTGTAGACCACTCTATGGACTAGTCTATAGACTACTCTAGGGACTAGTCTGTAGGTTACTCTATGAAGTAGTCTGTAGGCTACTCTATGGAGTAGCCTGTAGGCTATTCTATGGACTAGACTGTAGATTATTCTATGGACTAGACTGTAGACTACTCTATGGACTAGTCTGTAGACTACTCTATGGACTAGACTGTAGACTACTCTGTGGACTGGTCTGTAGACTATTCTATGGACTAGTATGTAGTCTAGGGATAATCTGAAGACTACGCTATGGACTAGTCTGTAGAATATTCTACTACTCTATGGATTAGTCTGTGGACTAGTCTGTTGAGTAATCTATGGACTAGTCTATGGACAAGTCTGTACACTACTCTATGGTGCAGTCTGTAGACTACTTTATAGACTACTCTATGGGTTAGTCTTAAGAATAATTTTTTGGACTTGTCTCTACTCTACTCTATGGACTAGTCTGTAGACCACTCTATGGACTAGCCTATAGACTACTCTATGGACTAGTCTGTAGACCACTCTATGGACTAGTCTGTAGGTTACTCTATGAAGTAGTCTGTAGGCTACTCTATGGACTAGTCTGTAGGATACTCTATGGAGTAGCCTGTAGGCTATTCTATGGACTAGACTGTAGATTATTCTATGGACTAGACTGTAGACTACTCTATGGACTAGTCTGTAGACTACTCTATGGACTAGACTGTAGACTACTCTGTGGACTGGTCTGTAGACTATTCTATGGACTAGTCTGTAGACTATTCTACTACTCTATGGATTAGTCTGTGGACTAGTCTGTTGAGTAATCTATGGACTAGTCTATGGACAAGTCTGTTCACTACTCCATGGTGCAGTCTGTAGACTACTTTATAGACTACTCTATGGGTTAGTCTTAAGAATAATTTTGATTTAGTATATGAACTAGTCTGATGATTAGTCTATGTACTAGTCTGTAGACTATTCTGTAGGCTAGACTGTAGACTACTCAATGGACTATTCTCTAGAATAGTCTATGGACTAACCTCTAGAATAGTCTATGGACTAGTCCCTAGACTACTCTATGGACTAGTCTGAAGACTACTCTATGGACTACTCTTTGGACTAGTCTGTGGACTACTCTTTGGACTAGTCTGTAGACTACTCTTTGGACTAGTCTGTAGACTACTCTTTGGACTAGTCTGTAGACTACTCTATGGACTAGTCTGTAGACTACTCTATGGACTGGTCTGTAAACTATTCTATGGACTGGTCTGTAGACCAGTCTATGTATTGATCTGCACAGTAGTCTGTAGGCTACTCTATGGCTTACTTAATGGACTAGTCTGCAGTCCAGTCTATGAACTAATATCTAGACTAGTGTGAACAGTAGTCTGAATGCGGACTTATATTTGGACTATTCTGTAGAGCAGTCTACGAACTAGCTAGTAGTCTAGTTTATGGATTATTCCAGTTCCTAATCTGTAAACTAGTATATAAGTTAGTCTATAAACTTATGTGTAAACTATTCCATTGACTGAGTCTATGGATTATCCTCTGGACTTCTATATAAACATGTCGGTGGACTTTTGTATGGACTATGTAATGGACTAATCTATAGAGTGTTCAAATACTAGCCCCTTCTGAAGTCTATGGAGAAATTTCATGACTAGTCTACGGACAATGCTATGGACTGGTATGTACAATATACTCTATTCCGTACACTAGTTAATGGTCTAGTCTATCAACTAGTCGATTGACTAGGTTATAAAATAGTAAATGGACTGGTCTATTGACTGATCTAAATAACGCACAATTTCTTGAGCTTTCTATCGATATATAAAACACGTTTTCATTGCCTTCTTGTTAACAAAGTTATATTTCAATTTTCTTTCTTTCTTATCCATTTTTAAACTACAGAACCAAGTCTGAATTTTTCTTTAAGCTTAAGATTTAAACAAAAAACAAATTGTAAATATGATATAAAAAATGGCAAATATTTAAAAAAAAAAACAAAATTTTTGATTTTGCTTCTTAAAATTGAAATGTTAAAAACATCTTAAGTTTTTGAATTTATTAGATTTAAGTTAAAATAAAATTGAAATTACAACAAAAACAGAAAACGCTTTGGTAAACAATAAATGCTTTAGAATTTTTAAAAAGAAGAAGACACGCTAGTTGTTTTTCTTTTAAGTCGGTGCAAATTTTCCATAAGAAATGTGTAAGAATGGACTATAATGAAGAAAACTAAACGTTAATAAGGAAAAACCTTACTTTACACCTAAAGGGTCAAAGGTTAAATTTATAAAAAATTGAGGTTAGCCTTAAAAATGTTTAAATAAATTATCATTTACCTCTTTTGTAAAAGGTTTTTAAAATTAAAATTGAAAATTAAACATTTTAGGCATTTGGAATGGAAATAAAATTTTAATTTTTTAAATAAATTAGAAAAATAAATCCTTTAAAACTTGCTAGACTTTCTTTTTGCACTGTGTAGATTAAAAAATTTGCAATATAGCGAAAATAGTTTTCAAAAACAATATTTATTTTTTAAATACAAAACTGATTTTAATAAAAACTAAACTATATGTACAAATTTAAAGAAAAAAGATCAGACATAATAAAACGCTAAATTATAGACAAATTATTACTGTTTTAAAAAATACTAAACCCCTCCCTACCTTATAAAAGAAAAAACATATGTAAATTATAAAAAATGTGGTAATTTATATAAAGCTCAGAGTAAATATTAAAAGAACATTTAAAACTATAAATTAAATATATTTATTAGGAAAACTAAAAATAAAACTAAAATTACCTAGTTATACAAATTGAAAATTGGAATAAAAAGAAATCTAAAAACTGAGAAAAAATAATTATAATAAAACTCAAATAACAAAAAAATATGTAATTAAATAAAAATTGTTCAAGAAAAAAAACTAAGTTAAAAAAATAAAGAAATATAAATAAAAGCAATTTGTCTAAGAAATTCTATTATATCGAACCAATTAGGATTTACTCTCAGCTCAGGTCTAGTCTATAGTCTAGTCTATAGTCTAGTCTATAGTCTAGTCTATAGTCTAGTCTATAGTCTAGTCTATAGTCTAGTCTATTAGTCTAGTCTAGTCTAGTCTAGTCTAGTCTAGTCTATAGTCTAGTCTATAGTCTAGTCTATAGTCTAGTCTATAGTCTAGTCTATAGTCTAGTCTATAGTCTAGTCTATAGTCTAGTCTATAGTCTAGTCTATAGTCTAGTCTATAGTCTAGTCTATAGTCTAGTCTATAGTCTAGTCTATAGTCTAGTCTATAGTCTAGTCTATAGTCTAGTCTATAGTCTAGTCTATAGTCTAGTCTATAGTCTAGTCTATAGTCTAGTCTATAGTCTAGTCTATAGTCTAGTCTATAGTCTAGTCTATAGTCTAGTCTATAGTCTAGTCTATAGTCTAGTCTATAGTCTAGTCTATAGTCTAGTCTATAGTCTAGTCTATAGTAGTCTATAGTCTAGTCTATAGTCTAGTCTATAGTCTAGTCTATAGTCTAGTCTATAGTCTAGTCTATAGTCTAGTCTATAGTCTAGTCTATAGTCTAGTCTATAGTCTAGTCTATAGTCTAGTCTATAGTCTAGTCTATAGTCTAGTCTATAGTCTAGTCTATAGTCTAGTCTATAGTCTAGTCTATAGTCTAGTCTATAGTCTAGTCTATAGTCTAGTCTATAGTCTAGTCTATAGTCTAGTCTATAGTCTAGTCTATAGTCTAGTCTATAGTCTAGTCTATAGTCTAGTCTATAGTCTAGTCTATAGTCTAGTCTATAGTCTAGTCTATAGTCTAGTCTATAGTCTAGTCTATAGTCTAGTCTATAGTCTAGTCTATAGTCTAGTCTATAGTCTAGTCTATAGTCTAGTCTATAGTCTAGTCTATAGTCTAGTCTATAGTCTAGTCTATAGTCTAGTCTATAGTCTAGTCTATAGTCTAGTCTATAGTCTAGTCTATAGTCTAGTCTATAGTCTAGTCTATAGTCTAGTCTATAGTCTAGTCTATAGTCTAGTCTATAGTCTAGTCTATAGTATAGTCTATAGTCTAGCCTATAGTCTAGTCTATAGTCTAGTCTATAGTCTAGTCTATAGTCTAGTCTATAGTCTAGTCTATAGTCTAGTCTATAGTCTAGTCTATAGTCTAGTCTATAGTCTAGTCCATAGTCTAGTCTATAGTCTAGTCTATAGTCTAGTCTATAATCTAGTCTATAGTCTAGTCTATAGTCTAGTCTATAGTCTAGTCTATAGTCTAGTCTATAGTCTAGTCTATAGTCCACTCTATAGTCCAGTCTATAGTCTAGTCTATAGTCCAGTCTATAGTCCAGTCTATAGTCCAGTCTATAGTCCAGTCTATAGTCTAGTCTATAGTCCAGTCTATAGTCCAGTCTATAGTCCAGTCTATAGTCCAATCTATAGTCCAGTCTATAGTCCAGTCTATAGTCCAGTAGTCCAGTCTATAGTCCAGTCTATAGTCCAGTCTATAGTCCAGTCTAGTCCAGTCTATAGTCTAGTCTATAGTCCAGTCAATAGTCCAGTCTATAGTCCAGTCTATAGTTCAATCTATAGTCCAGTCTATAGGCCAGTCTATAGTCTTGTCTATAGTCCAGTCTATAGTCCAGTCTAGAGTCCAGTCTATAGTCCAGTCTATAGTCTAGTCTATAGTCTAGTCTATAGTCCAGTCTATAGTCCAGTCCATAGTCCAGTCTATAGTCCAGTCTATAGTCCAGTCTATAGTCCAGTCTATAGTCCAGTCTATAGTCCAGTCTCTAGTCCAGTCTATAGTCCAGTCCATAGTCCAGTCTATAGTCTAGTCTATACTCCAGTCTATAGTCCAGTCTATAGTCCAGTCTATAGTCCAGTCTACAGTCGAGTCTATACTCCAGTCTCTAGTCCAGTCTATAGTCCAGTCTATAGTCCATTCTATAGTCCAGTCTATAGTCTAGTCAATAGCCTAGTCTATAGTCTAGTCAATAGCCTAGTCTATAGTCTAGCCCTTTTAAAAATTTTGAATTAAAAATTAAATTAAAATAATCACTCACCTTATTTAACACTTATTTCCTTTCCGCCAACAATTTTATTTCCTATTTTTAGCAAACTTTTAATTAACTTTTTTATGTAATTTATTTTTTCTCATTTTTTTCAAAGCTTTTTATTTATTTTCACAACTTTTTTTAATTTCTTAGCTTTTTCTTTTGCCTACAAAGATCTACACTTGATTTCCTTCTCATTTCCTATACTATAATTAAAAGCTTTTTTATTTGAAATTATTTTACTTCTTCATTTTTCTTTACAAAACTTATAAGAGCTTTTCATTTCTCATTAACAAACATTTTTTCCACTTTCCAACCAACCAACCAATGAACTTAACACTCCCCTACTCACACCCACAAACTCTTATTAACAACGAATGGCCAAACTAAAGCAACACACCGATCGACTCTGCATTTTATCATATTCCAAACACATTTGTAAAACTATTTTTACTAATTTACAAGTAACTTTTTAACAAACTTTTTACACACAACGATTAACAAACATTTAAATTTTATATTTATGCAAAAATAGTAACAATTTATTAATTTTTAACCGGATTTATTAATTAATTAAACGACCACTAATCACCGAACAACCGAACTCTTGCGAAATTTCTAGAAAACTAAAAGAGAAAAATGCAAGTAATGATTCTGTTGCTATTGTTGTTGTTATTGCTGCTGTCATTTTTTGATTTGTACTAAATTGTATGCATGTGTAATATGTTTGTTGTAATTTTATTGTGTTGGGTGGTGGGGGAGAATTTAGAGTGCGCAAATAGATTAGGAGCATAACGTTAAGTAGAAGAGTTTTTAGTGATGGTCAAGCTAGGATTCTAAAAACCGACTTTAAAATAATCGAAGAATCGACTTTTAGTCGGAAAAAGTCGAACAGTTGAAGTCGACTTTTTTGTCGAATATCGATAGTTTCACTTTGAAAACCCTTTGAAGAAATACTAGACTTTGAAAAAATATAGTCTAGTCTATAGTCTAGACTATAGACTAGATTATAGACTAGACTATAGACTAGACTATAGACTAGACTATAGACTAGACTATAGACTAGACTATAGACTAGACTATAGACTAGACTATAGACTAGACTATAGACTAGACTATAGACTAGACTATAGACTAGACTATAGACTAGACTATAGACTAGACTATAGACTAGACTATAGACTAGACTATAGACTAGACTATAGACTAGACTATAGACTAGACTATAGACTAGACTATAGACTAGACTATAGACTATACTATAGACTAGACTATAGACTAGACTATAGACTAGACTATAGACTAGACTATAGACTAGACTATAGACTAGACTATAGACTAGACTATAGACTAGACTATAGTCTAGACTATAGACTAGACTATAGACTAGACTATAGTCTAGACTATAGACTAGACTATAGACTAGACTATAGACTAGACTAGACTATAGACTAGACTAGACTAGACTATAGAATAGACTATAGACTAGACTATAGACTAGACTATAGACTAGACTATAGACTAGACTATAGACTAGACTATAGACTAGACTATAGACTAGACTGTAGACTAAACTATAGACTAGACTGTAGACTAAACTATAGACTCGACTATAGACTAGACTATAGACTAGACTATAGACTAGACTATAGACTAGACTATAGACTAGACTATAGACTAGACTATAGACTAGACTATAGACTAGACTATAGACTAGACTATTGACTAGACTATTGACTAGACTATTGACTAGACTATTGACTAGACTATTGACTAGACTATTGACTAGACTATTGACTAGACTATTGACTAGACTATTGACTAGACCATAGACTAGACTATAGACTAGACTATATTTATTCAAAGTCTAGTATTTCTTCAAAGGGTTTTTAAAGTGAAACTATCGATATTCTACAAAAAAGTCAATAGTTATCAAATTATTGAATTAAAGTAATGAATACAAAATACAAAACAAAACTCCCAACCCTGTCTTTATTCCTTTATTAACATTTTACTAAATATTTCCGATTTGACATTCACTAATAAGTCTCCTTAACATCTTGCTCTTAATCTATTTAGGCACTTTTTATTATTATCTCCCTTTTTACAACAAAATCAAATAACAACAAACCCATAACATACATATTAGCTAACAATTTAGTACAAATCAAATAATGACAGCAGCAATAACAACAACAATAGCAACAGAATAATTACTTGCATTTTTCTCTTTTAGTTTTCCAGAAATTTCGCAAGAGTTCGGTTGTTCGGTGATTAGTGGTCGTTTAATTAATTAATAAATCCGGTCAAAATTCAATAAATTGTTAATATTTTTGCATAAATATAAAATTTAAATATTTGTTAATCGTTGTGTGTAAAAAGTTTGTTAAAAAGATAATTGTAAATTAGTAAAATAGTTTTGCTAATGTGTATGGAATATGGTAAAACGCAGAGCCGATCGGTGTGTTGCTTTAGTTTGGCCATTCGTTGTTAATACGTACGGGTAGAGGAGTGTGTTAAGTTTATTGGTTGGTTGTTGAGTGGAAAAAAAGTTTGTTAATGAGAAATGAAAAGCTTTTATCAGTTTTGTAAAATAATGAAGAAGTAAAATAATTTCAAATAAAAAAAGCTTTCAATTATAGTAAAGGAAATGAGAAGGAAATCAAGTGTAGATCTTTGTAAGCAAAAAAAAGCTAAGAAATTAAAGAAAAATATTGTAAAAATAAATAAAAAAGCTTTGAAATAAAAGATAAAAATTAAATTACATAAAAAAGCTAATGAAAAGTTTGAGAAAAATAGGAATATAATTGTTGCCGGAAAGGAAATAGGTGTTAAATAAGGTGCGTGATTTTTTAAATTTAATTTTTAATTAAAAAAATTTAACAGGGCTAGACTATAGACTAGACTAGACTATAGACTAGACTATAGACTAGACTATAGACTAGACTATAGACTAGACTATAGACTAGACTATAGACTGGACTATAGACTAGACTATAGACTGGACTATAGACTAGACTATAGACTGGACTATAGACTAGACTATAGACTAGACTATAGACTGGACTATAGCCTAGACTATAGACTGCACTATAGACTAGACTATAGACTAGACCATAGACTAGACTATAGACTAGACTATAGACTAGACTATAGACTAGACTATAGACTAGACTATAGACTAGACTATAGACTAGACTATAGACTAGACTATAGACTAGACTATAGACTAGACTATAGACTAGACTATAGACTAGACTATAGACTAGACTATAGACTGGACTATAGACTAGACTATAGACTAGACTATAGACTAGACTATAGACTAGACTATAGACTAGACTATAGACTAGACTATAGACTAGACTATAGACTAGACTATAGACTAGACTATAGACTAGACTATAGACTAGACTATAGACTAGACTATAGACTAGACTATAGACTAGACTATAGACTAGACTATAGACTAGACTATAGACTAGACTATAGACTAGACTATAGACTAGACTATAGACTAGACTATAGACTAGACTATAGACTAGACTATAGACTAGACTATAGACTAGACTATAGACTAGACTATAGACTAGACTATAGACTAGACTATAGACTAGACTATAGACTAGACTATAGACTAGACTATAGACTAGACTATAGACTAGACTATAGACTAGACTATAGACTAGACTATAGACTAGACTATAGACTAGACTAGACTATAGACTAGACTATAGACTAGACTATAGACTAGACTAGACTAGACTATAGACTAGACTATAGACTAGACTATAGACTAGACTATAGACTAGACTATAGACTAGACTATAGACTAGACTATAGACTAGACTATAGACTAGACTATAGACTAGACTATAGACTAGACTATAGACTAGACTATAGACTATAGACTAGACTATAGACTAGACTATAGACTAGACTATAGACTAGACTATAGACTAGACTATAGACTAGACTATAGACTAGACTATAGACTAGACTATAGACTAGACTAGACTAGACTATAGACTAGACTTGACTATAGACTAGACTTGACTATAGACTAGACTTGACTATAGACTAGACTTGACTATAGACTAGACTAGACTATAGACTAGACTAGACTATAGACTAGACTAGACTATAGACTAGACTATAGACTAGACTAGACTATAGACTATAGACTATAGACTATAGACTATAGACTATAGACTATAGACTATAGACTATAGACTATAGACTATAGACTATAGACTATAGACTATAGACTATAGACTATAGACTATAGACTATAGACTATAGACTAGACTAGACTAGACTAGACTAGACTATAGACTATAGACTATAGACTATAGACTATAGACTATAGACTATAGACTATAGACTATAGACTATAGACTATAGACTATAGACTATAGACTATAGACTATAGACTAGACTAGACTAGACTAGACTAGACTAGACTAGACTAGACTATAGACTAGACTATAGACTAGACTATAGACTAGACTATAGACTAGACTAGACTAGACTAGACTAGACTAGACTAGACTATAGACTAGACTATAGACTGGACTATAGACTAGACAATAGACTAGACTATAGACTGGACTATAGACTAGACAATAGAGTAGACTATAGACTGGACTATCGACTACGCTATAGACTAGACTATAGACTTAACTATAGACTAGACTATAGACTTAACTATGGACTACACTATAGACTACACTATAAACTACACTATAGTCTACACTATAGACTGAATACTATGTTAACTACTTACCAAAACTTTATTAGTTAGAAAAAATACAGAGTATATTTTTGGTTAGAAATACCCTTATTTTGAACGATAAACACGTTTTTATAAGATATCGATTTCGTTCCGAAATATGAATGATCGCAGATAGATCTCCTTTTCTTGGTATTTGGTCAGAAATTTGAGTTATCACACAAATCGGGATCCTTATTTACAAAATTATAAAGGATCCTCACTATACTGGTGTAGGGTATATCAGAAATGTTAGTGATCGCAGATCAAAGTTAACACAAAGTTTAATATATTTAAGATTTCCATAGAAAAAATGATTATGTGTTAGAAATATGAGTGATCACAAATCATTTATTCAAGGATTTACGATGTTCGCATAAAAATTGGGTTTTAATCCGAAGTGATCATGAATCGAGCTGTTTTCTCAATTAAAAACTTTTTTACAAAGTAAACAAATGATTGATCTCAAAATTGTATTCTTTTCTTATTTAATCATTTATTTTCAAAGATATATTTCATAGAAGAAATCGATTTTGATCAGTAAAATGTATGATCACTGAACTAGCTCCTTTACCAGTTATTAAAAATGTATGATTAAAAAACAAACACTTTTGTTTATTATATTTAAATAATTTATTTTTATTATAGTAAAAAAATGATGATGGCAATACACAATCAATAGTTATGCCAACAGTAATGAGCATAATTTTAGCACACAGACATGTATAGTGAAAACGGGGGAAAATACATAAAAAAAATATTACTTTATTTAACAAAATGAATTATGATCGTGTGTTTTTTTAATAACGTAAATGTATATTAAAATTATAAATAAATGTTTACGAATGAAGTTTCTTTTTGGACTCTCTTCTCTAGTTAGCATAAGTGTGTAATACTCTGCGATAATTAAAAGAGCGCTTAAGTACTAAAGAGAGATTTTAGAGAGAGAAAGGATTTGGGACTGTGCAGAGTTTGGAAAGAGCTGTACATTTACAACTTTTACCCGAAGGGGCCTTACGATTAACCAAACACAAGCGAGCATCAGAACAGCCACCGTTGTTAATTTGACAAGGACTATCCATTTGAGGGCAATGATCTTCGACAGCGGTCATGGCATACATTTTATGACTGCCAAAGAAGGGAATTTGCATGCTCTTTTGACGTTGACCCAAAGTGTCGACACTTTCGAGTTTTTTGCTGGATTTGGAAAAAAATATTATTATTAAATATAAGTTTTGCATGATTAATTAATGATCTGTAACTTACGTGGTCCAATCGGTCCAATAGAATTGATCGTGGGTAAATGACAAACCGAAGGGATAAGTCAATTCATTAGATATGGTACGCATTTGTTTAGTATAGCCATCAATACATTCCACTTTTTTGGTGCCAGCATCGGCATAACATAATTCACCCGAACGTTCTAATACCACCAAAGAATTTGGCAAAGTAACACTATCTTTACCCAACAATACTTCACGTCCCGTACCATCCAAATCGGAGACCTCAATTTTGGGTGATTCACGATTCCAATCAGACCAATACAATTTTCTATACAAATATACATATTATTAGTTTTCCATTGATTATTTTACTTTCAAAAAATACTTACTCTCTATAAGGATCAACAGCTATACCACGGGGATTAACCAAATTCTTATTGATTATCACAGCTCGGAGAGTAGGATCTTCTAAGCTGGCCACTTCAATGGTGTCCTTAACCGAATCAGTCCAATAAAGACGTCTAGAAATGCAATCAATAGCAATTCCTTCGGGAGATTCAATATCTAAAGAGAAAACACATTTTAACTCTGGGCTGGTACAAGTTTAAAATGGGGATTTTGAAAACATACCTTCAGTAATAAATGGTTTCATATCGGAACCATCATATTTAGCACTGACAATCTTTTTGGCCGAAATATCGCCCCAGTAAATGCGACCCTCAACACAATCCTTATCCAAACCAATAGCCATGGAAGCTACGGAAATGGGACGAACATTTTTACCATTCAATGGCACGCGCACTATAACAACACCCTGTGAAACCAAAAGGAATCCAGAATCATGCTGTTGTCTTTCAATACACAAGGAACCATTGCCATAGAAACCTGAAATAAATTGAAATTTATTAAAAATTAAAAAATAATAATAAATAACGTTTTAAAAATCTTAAATAATTAAAATTTTTAGTAAAATTAACTCTTCCTTTGGCTACAACTATGTTCGCTTCACATCTATTGGGACGTTTGACAAAATTCTATACTTATCCCTGTTCGAAGGTAACATTTCTGCTGCCCTTTAACTGCAAATCTTCCATGTGTAATTATTCAACGAAAAAAGCTCCCATCACTAGCCGTAAATCGCCAGTAGGGACAAAAACAGTTCCACCCAAACCCCACCAAAGTTATACTAGTAATCCTAGTAAAAAATCTAATGGATTTAAAGCCAAAAGAAAACCACCAGTTCCAAGAAATTTTGCTACAGAGTTTGCGACACCAAATACAAAATTGAATGCCTCTATTGGCAGCACTACGAAAACAATGCCGCAAACTATTTCCACCTTAGAAGGACTAAGAGAATTTTTTTCACATCCCCTAACCTGGGATCGTAATAATGGTTATTTGAATTTATTATTGGGTTTAGCTATATTTGGCTATAGTTTTTGTACCACAAGCAGTGGAGAATCGGGTACATCGTATGGGGACAAAGGAAAGTAATGTTATATAATAATTCAAATAAAAATTTTGTAAATTGGCAGATTGTGTACTTTATAATAAAAATTGATCAAAAATATTCTCTAGAAAGTATCTCTGAATGCAATATGCTTCATATTCTATTAAGACTAAATCGGCTTCAAAATTTTACTTAAATATAATAACCTACTTACCCTTATTGCAAACGCACACCAAACCATTATTGGTGGACAAACAGGCGGCATTCATGTCACACAACTGAGGAGTATTCAAGCAATTTTGATCTTCAACACAAACATAACCATCACCATTATAGCCAGCATTACATTGACACTCGTAATTGGCAGGATCACTAAAGAAAAGTTCACATAAACATTAAAAATTTCCCCACAAACTAGAACCGCTTAACAATAAGAAAACTTACTCTGTTGGTTCACAGCTAGCATGGACACCACAATTGAATTGAACATTACAAGGTATAGGTTTGCTCTTACAACCCACCAAAGCATCACCCTCATAGCCGTCCATACAATCACAATACTTAACATCTTGATGTTGATCATATTTACACAAAGCATTGGCACCACACAACACCGAACCACAACTACCGGGCACCACACACAGATCGGACATATCACGTTCGAAGCCAGCTTGACATTGACAGACATCACGATCACAGAAAGCATTTTGACCACAGTCTAAATCTTCCAAACATTCGGGAGCTAGAGTACAGCGATAACCATCACCCTCATAGCCACGTTTGCATTTGCACTCCGAGTGACCTAAGATTTCATTGTACAGGCATTCAGCTTGAGCATCACAGATTTCGGGTTTCTAGGAAAAAGGTTTAAAATATTCACTCTGTTTCTTTAATTAGAATTTTTAATGGAAACCTACCACAGCACAGGATTCATCAATTATAGCGCAATTGTAACCATCACCATAATAACCAGGTTTGCAAGTACAGATATGTCTTAATTCCACCTCAAACCATTCACAGCTGGCATTGGCATGACAATTGTATTCCACATCGCAGGGTACTAAAGATTTATAAAAGAAACAACTCATAAGTTCTTATATAACTTACAACAAAAATCCTTTAAACTTACCAAAATCTTCAGGTCTATGATCGATATTATAGCTACCCACATAACGGCACATTTGTATGTCTTCCATTAGCTCATAACCATCATCGCAGGTACAGTCGCCAAAGAAGTTACATCTAGGCTCAATATCGGGTTCTTCATAAATAACCTTAACACATCTGCCATCCTCCCAGGCCTCATCGTGACCACAATTGCTCATGCAGTACATGCCATCACCGGAAAAACCTTCGCGGCACTCACATCTTCCCTCCAAGCAATCGGCATAAGGCGAGCAACGATAACAATCATCCGAGTGATAAGGATATTGAGGTTGTGGTAAAGGTTGAGGTTGTTGTTCTGTTTCAGCTTCGGGTACTGTTTCGGTATGTTCTCTATCTACTACATTATCTTCTGGATACGTTGGCACTGGCTCAACACTAACAATAGTTTCACCTATATTATTTGGGGTAGACGATTCAATATTATCCGCCACATTGGTGTCATTAATCAAACATCTAAAACCATTGCCTTCATAACCATTCAAGCAAACACATGAGAAACCTCCTTCGTTATTGGTACAAATACCATTTTCACTGCAGGCATGGGTACCCAAGGCACACTCATCGATATCAACACAGATTTCTGCACCCCAATCGGTAACTTGTGGCGCATAGCCATGTAAACAGTCACATCTGTAGTTGTCATCATAGGGTATGCAAACCATATTCTCACCACAGACCGCCGTACCATCGGTACAGGCGTTAGACATGGCCGTAACACCAGCAACAGTTAAAATACTAGTACGCAAAGCCTGATCTCTATCAAAGTAATCCAACATAATTTTGGAGATCTTTTGGAAATAGGTAGTACCAGCAATAGAGTTCTCTTGATCCTGTAAACAACGTTCGAAATAGATATTTTGCTCCATTTGGAAATTGATTACTCTATTCTCTTCGGGAATTTCTAAAACATGAGCCTGCACCGAGTGCAATTCATTGGGTGTAATAAAACGATACTCCTCGGTAAATTCTGCCATATGCAACTTCAAGCCATGCTTAATTTGGGGCACTTGACCATGCAAATCTATCTTCACCGACAATTGATCCCAATAGTTGAGACCCTCATAGGTTTGATTGATCAATAGCACTTCACCAGTTTCGAAACTTAACTTAGAGGTATGCAAAAATTCACCTCCTGTCAATTGATAACCATTGGCGGTATTGTTCAATGGTTTGGCAAACAACCAACCAATAGCGCTAACAATGGGCAAAGCCAATCTTAAATTGGTACCCAATTCAGTGTTAATGGGAGTCACCGCGGTATAACTGCGTCCATCAGCGGTTACAACATACGATTGCAGCTTAGAACGTTCATCGATCATTTCGCCATTCAATTCACCCATTATGGAGCCAGTTACGCGTACGGGAAAATCATCTTTAATACACACTTCACCGTTACCATAGAAACCCTGTTGGCATACACAACAGAAGCCCTCTTCTTTGTCCACACATTGAGCATGTTGGCTGCAAACACGTTGGCCGGCTTCAGAGCAGGATTGAGAGGATAAGGGTGATTCGGTACGTGTGTCTTCATTGGTAGGAGCCTGGACATTGTGTTCATAGTCGAAGGGTCCTACGCGATACAAGTAGACACCGGGAATGCCAACATTAGATTTTTCACTTAAGAAACGGGCCTGAAATTTGAAAGAGAACATTACTGAAATGACTCAAAACAATTTGTATAGCCTATAGTCTAGTCTATAGTCTAGTCTATAGTCTAGTCTTTAGTCTAGTCTATAGTCTAGTCTATAGTCTTGTCTATAGTCTAGTCTATAGTCTAGGTCTATAGTCTAGTCTATAGTCTAGTCTATAGTCTAGTCTATAGTCTAGTCTATAGTCTAGTCTAGTCTATAGTCTAGTCTATAGTCTAGTCTATAGTCTAGTCTAGTCTATAGTCTAGTCTATAGTCTAGTCTATAGTCTAGTCTATAGTCTAGTCTATAGTCTAGTCTATAGTCTAGTCTATAGTCTAGTCTATAGTCTAGTCTATAGTCTAGTCTATAGTCTAGTCTATAGTCTAGTCTATAGTCTAGTCTATAGTCTAGTCTATAGTCTAGTCTATAGTCTAGTCTATAGTCTAGTCTATAGTCTAGTCTATAGTCTAGTCTATAGTCTAGTCTATAGTCTAGTCTATAGTCTAGTCTATAGTCTAGTCTATAGTCTAGTCTATAGTCTAGTCTATAGTCTAGTCTATAGTCTAGTCTATAGTCTAGTCTATAGTCTAGTCTATAGTCTAGTCTATAGTCTAGTCTATAGTCTAGTCTATAGTCTACTCTATAGTCTAGTCTATAGTCTAGTCTATAGTCTAGTCTATAGTCTAGTCTATAGTCTACTCTATAGTCTACTCTATAGTCTAGTCTATAGTCTAGTCTATAGTCTAGTCTAGTCTAGTCTATAGTCTAGTCTATAGTCTAGTCTATAGTCTAGTCTATAGTCTAGTCTATAGTCTAGTCTATAGTCTAGTCTATAGTCTAGTCTATAGTCTAGTCTATAGTCTAGTCTATAGTCTAGTCTATAGTCTAGTCTATAGTCTAGTCCTATAGTCTAGTCTATAGTCTAGTCTATAGTCTAGTCTATAGTCTAGTCTATAGTCTAGTCTATAGTCTAGTCTATAGTCTAGTCTATAGTCTAGTCTATTAGTCTAGTCTATAGTCTAGTCTTATAGTCTAGTCTATAGTCTAGTCTATAGTCTAGTCTATAGTCTAGTCTATAGTCTAGTCTATAGTCTAGTCTATAGTCTAGTCTATAGTCTAGTCTATAGTCTAGTCATAGTCTAGTTATAGTCTAGTCTATAGTCTAGTCTATAGTCTAGTCTATAGTCTAGTCTATAGTCTAGTCTATAGTCTAGTCTATAGTCTAGTCTATAGTCTAGTCTATAGTCTAGTCATAGTCTAGTCTATAGTCTAGTCTATAGTCTAGTCTATAGTCTAGTCTATAGGTCTAGTCTATAGTCTAGTCTATAGTCTACGTCTAGTCTAGTCTAGTCTATAGTCTAGTCTATAGTCTAGTCTATAGTCTAGTCTATAGTCTAGTCTATAGTCTAGTCTATAGTCTAGTCTATAGTCTAGTCTATAGTCTAGTCTTAGTCTAGCTATAGCTAATTAGTCTATAGTCTAGTTATAGCTAGTTCTATAGGTCTAGTCTATAGTCTAGTCTATAGTCTAGTCTATAGTCTAGTCTATAGTCTAGTCTATAGTCTAGTCATAGCTAGTCTATAGTCAACTCTATAGTCTAGTCTATAGTCTAGTCTATAGTCTATTCTATAGTCTAGTCTATAGTCTAGTCTATAGTCTCAGTCTATAGTCTAGTCTATAGTCTAGTCTATAGTCTAGTCTATAGTCTAGTCTATAGTCTAGTCTATAGTCTAGTCTATAGTCTAGTCTATAGTCTAGTCTATCGTCTAGTCTATAGTCTAGTCTATTAGTCTAGGTCTATAGTCTAGTCTATAGTCTAGTCTATAGTCTAGTCTATAGTCTAGTCTATAGTCTAGTCTATAGTTCTAGTCTATATAGTCTAGTCTATAGTCTAGTCTATAGTCTAGTCTATAGTCTAGTCTATAGTCTAGTCTATAGTCTAGTCTATAGTCTAGTCTATAGTCTAGTCTATAGTCTAGTCTATAGTCTAGTCTATAGTCTAGTCTATAGTCTAGTCTATAGTCTAGTCTATAGTCTAGTCTATAGTCTAGTCTATAGTCTAGTCTATAGTCTAGTCTATAGTCTAGTCTATAGTCTAGTCTATAGTCTAGTCTATAGTCTAGTCTATAGTCTAGTCTATAGTCTAGTCTATAGTCTAGTCTATAGTCTAGTCTATAGTCTAGTCTATAGTCTAGTCTATAGTCTAGTCTATAGTCTAGTCTATAGTCTAGTCTATAGTCTAGTCTATACTAGTCTATAGTCTATAGTCTATAGTCTCTCTATAGTCTAGTCTATAGTCTAGTCTATAGTCTAG